CAAAACTACACTCAATACTAATTTTTTGATGGCTATTTATATACTGGGGCTTAAGGGAGGATTTAAAAATGTTTGCTTTTAAAGTTTTCTTGTACAGGAAAACAGAGAAGCCACATTTTGAAAAGTCAAATTTGGAGCCTTTATTGGAGTGCTGGTGGTCTGCAGATAGACTTCTGTCACAAAGATCTGCAGCCCAACAAATGAACTTACTACTGTTAAAAAACTGAGCCAGGAGAGCCAGAGAGGAAAGAAAGAACAGAGAAAACAATACCCACAAACCAGAATAGCTCCAATTGGAAGCTGAAGTGGACCGCCGTGTTGACCAGGAGGAGCACCAGAAGACACACAGAGACAGAAGGCATGGCATGCACTTGCCTGAGCTGGGACCTTGAGAGTTCTTGGCCCAGTAACCTATTGTCCAAGTCCCCACCCCTGCCTCTAGAAATTCAGGCACATCAATCACCTAAGAGTTGGGACTTCCCTATCCACCATCAAAACAAGATGGCACCAGTTAAACCCAGTACCCTACCATCCACCATGTGGCCAAGATGGTGCCAGTTAGATTCAGCATCCCTACTTCAGGCTCAATACATTTTATTAAACCCTTTGTTTTTCATGTTTTGGCTTTTGGAAACAGAGTTTCTCACTCTATAACTAAGGCTGGCCTCAAGCTTAATGCTCCTCCTGCCTCAGCCTCTGAAGTGCTGAGATTACAGGCATGCCTCCAACGTGTGCAGCTAAATCGACTTTACTTTTCCCTTTGACAATTCAGTTTTTAGTATTGTGAGCTGAGGAAGATTTTTTTTTTAATCTAGCAGAAGCACAGTAAAACATACCCCCACTAAAATGATCACATATGAAAAATTACAATGGACATTCAGGTTATATGTTATTAGTATTAGGTCTCCCCTGGAAAAAATGGCCCCTTCCTCATTGTTCTCCACTGGTGCACATATGGCCCTTTCCCTAGAAGCTCCCGCCCCTGTCCAGGTAACTGGAGCTCCTGGGGATAGTTGGAGGTCCCAGGCTCTGAGGCCTTGGATGTGGCCACACCTCCTCCCTACTCTTTCCATCATTCGTTCCGCCCCTTTTGCTGCTGGCCCCCGGGCAGTCTTTCCCTTACCTCTTGTCCCTTTCCCCCTTTCTTTGCCTTTCCCTTCTTCTGCATCCTTTGCATCCCCTGCCCGCCTCCATCTTGTGCAGGTCGACAGTTTGCTCTCCACCTAGTAAACTCTTTTCTGCCTGAACCATGTGGCAATCTCCTTTTGCTGAACCTAACAATTACCATAAAATATTTTGACAATGGAAGCAATTCAACTGTGTTGCTTACCCCAGCATCCGTTTAAAATATTTTAGGCAACCAGGGCCCCAAACTGTATTAATTATGAAATAAACTATATTAACCTGATAAGGAGACCTCATTTAAAAGCCAAGCTTGCAGGAGATGAATGGCCACATCAGGTTTAAATCTTTTAATTAAATTTTATTTCTACAACTTGTGCAATCCACTATTTATGATTGAAAGGCAACCTCTACCAACAGTTATTTGGCCCCTATTTGTGTATACAGAGCTTTCTCTTTTTTGGCAGTATGAGGAATTGAAATCGGGGCCTCCCACTTGTTAGGCAGATGTTCTGTTCCTTGAGTCATACCACCAGCCCCACCATATGTCTTACTTAGACACTCTTTAAGTGTGTGTCCCTGTTTCACCATTAGATTATAAACCTCAAAGTCAAATGTCTATTCAGAAACTACCTGGTCCTAGATTTGCAAAAGCTTAAACTAGGGGGGGAAAAAGGATCAAGAAAAGAAAAAAAATCATAGGAAATAAATACAGCAAAGCATTCTTATTAGAATGCCCTTTTTTGCAGGACACTAACCCCCTTTACAAGGCCTGCTTCCATACTGCTACTGAGGACATCAACTTTCATTGTGTTTTGGTGAGGACAGACATATCTAAACTATAGCAGGGCCACATGCCAGTGGCTCTTATCTCTAATCCTAGCTACTCAGGAGGCTAAGGTCTGAGGATCAAGATTCAAAGGTAGCTTGAGAAAACACATCTAAGGCTTTTTATCTCCAATTAAAAAGCAAAAAGCTAGAAGTGGAGGTGTGGCTGAAATGATAGGACATCAGCTTTGAAAAGCAGTTCCATGTCCTAGTTCAAGCCCCAGTATGGTACAAAAACAAAGAAAAGAAAAGAAAGAGATGAAAAACCATAGTATACTATCTTCTGTCATTCTGTCAATTGTATCTCCATCCTTTTCCCTCAGTTACCTCACCTGCCACTGGTATAGGAAAGTCAATATAGTGACTGTGGATGTTGTTGTCTGTGTGTCTCAGGATATAGGGGTGCCATATAGGAATAATAATATCAACTCAAAAGGAACTTAGCAAGCCCAAATTTCCTCTGCAGAAGGGCATTCTACTACCAAGAATCTAAGTGTGCTAGCATGCTGGGCAGGAAGTCTGCCTAGCTTTTTCCCTAACATGTACTGCCCCTGTTCTAATTGGTCAAAACTTAGGCTCACAATCTTGTCCAATTGGATAGTATAAAGAGGATTTTTAAAAAATTAGCTTAATTAACAGGGTGTAGCTAAAACTCAGTGAACTTGCAACAGAATGTAACCAGAACAGGAAGTAACTAAAAATACAATTGATGGAGGCCAAGACACACGGCCATAGCAGGATCTTTTCAGAAAAACTCACAGGTTGATGGAAGGAAGCAATGATTCACTTTGACAGAAAATATTTTAGTTCTTACAGTATCCTCCTGATTATCCTTCCCTGCTTCACACAGAAATCAGAAAACTTCAAAAACTATACATTAGATTCTTTTCCTTTTTTCCTTGACAGTCCTGGGGCTTGAACTCAGGGCCTGGGCACTGTCCCTAAGCTTCTTTTGCTCAAGGCTAGCATCTATCACTTGAGCCACAGCAACACATCCAGCTTTTTCTGTTTATGTGGAACTGAGGAATCCAACCCAGGGCTGTGGATGCTAGGCAATCACTCTACCACTAAGCCACATTCCCAGCCCTTACATTAGATTCGTCACTCCTTTATGCATGCCCTTACAGTGGCATCACCTTTCACTTCAGTGGGCAAACGCCCTGCGTGGCCAAAGCCTGTCACTCGCTCCTTGCTCATCCTCATCTTCTGAGTTGCTGCATCTCAACCAGAGCCTTCTCCTATTAGGGCCTGAATGAGTACTTGTCCATGTGAATACTTGTCTAGTGTGGGTAATTGTCCTGTGTGGAGTACTCCTCTGGTGCGAGTGCTTGTCCTGTGTGGAGTACTGCCCTGTGAGTATTTGTCCAGTGCAAGTGTTTGTCCAATGCAAGGGCTTACCCATGTAGAGTACTTGTCCTGTGAGTGCTTGTCCTGTGTGGCGTGCTTGTCCTGTGTGGCGTACTTGTCCTGTCTGTAGAGTGCTTGTCCTGTGCCAGTGCTTGTTCTGTGTGGAGTGCTTGTTCTGTGTGGAGTGCTTTTCCTGTGCCAGTGCTTGTTCTGTGTAGAGTGCTCGTCCTATGTAGAGAGCCTATCTTGTGGGAGTGCTTATCCTATGTGGAGTACTTGTCCTGTGTAAATACTTGTCCTGTGTGAAGTGCTTTCCTTCTTCATAGAGCTGGGTTCCTCACATTCTGTCTCAGCTCAGTACTATTCCTTTGCCTGGCAAAGCAGACGTCTGTATCCATGCTCATTGCCATCCAGTCCATTTCATCCCTGTTCATCAGGACTTCTGTTACTGGCTCGTCAGTGCTAGGTTGGTGGAGCAGGTACATTCAGGCTCCCCCAGCACCTCAGCGTCTTGGGCCCAACAAGTACCTGCTGAATGAGTCACTGCAGCCACACGCATAGCCCCAGCACTCCATCCACCTGTTAGCTTTTTGGTCACTACATGTTTAACAGTGGTATTTTATTCACCCTGGTTAAAGAAGACAAAGCCTATTTCAAGGGCTAAATTGAAATGGACTCATGATACAAATTCCCTCTATCATGGGTTAAAAAACACCCACAGTTTCACAAAAGAAATATTTTCAAAGCACCCATATCGCAAACAATTGGCTTCAGAAAGTTACCTGATAATGCATTAATTGAAACACCAAATACTGAGTTCAAGAAACTATAGAGATAATCAAAAAGAACCTGTCTTTATCATGCATGAGGGGGAAGCTCCGCACTTTCTCTTCCATCCCCCGTGGCTGGCTCACACATTCCTGTGTGTGAAGAGACACCATGCAGTGTGATATTCTTGGCAGCATGCTAGCCCAGGCTCCCTGGGAAGCTGCAAGGCCCTGTCCTCACTCCTGGGCAGACAGTGAGTCCTCGGGGAATCACAGCTCACCTAGATCATTGTTTAGGCACGACAGAATAATTACTAAACTGGGGGGCTTTTAAAGAGACTGTCAGCTGGGCACTGGTGGCTCACGCCTGTAATCCTAGCTACTTAGGAGGCTGAGATCTCTGGATTGCAATTCAAAGCCAGACCAGGAAGGAAAGTCCATGAGATTCTTATTTCCAATTAACCACAAAAAAAATCAGAGGTGGAGCTATGGCTCAAGTGGTAGAGTGCTAGCCTTGAACTTTTACAAAAGCTCAGGGACAGCGCCCAGGCCCTCAATTCAAGCCCCAGGATTGGTACAAAAGAAAAAAGTAGGGGTTGGGGGGAGAGGATGGGGAAGGGACTCTCCATCCTCTAAAACTCCAATATGCTTTTCATGACTGTTGGATAGTATGAGAAGTTTCCAATTTTGCAGGCAGATTCATTCTGTAGATAGCTTCATTTGGAAGTAAAATCAGATGAAACCCTTCAAGGTACAAGTATTTTCTATTGCAATATACAGTTTCGTTTTTAAATGGAGAAATAATGATTAGGAAAGAATCCATTTCATATACTAAAAATAAATTCAACCATCTGTCTGGTAGATATGAAAACAGCAGCAAAGAAAACACAGATAAATCTAAACAGACTGAGTCAGAAGAAGAAAGTATTTCATAGAAAGTTATTTTATTATTAGAACAGTATGGTTTTATACACTTAAGATCTCCATTACAGATAGCAAAGTCCCTCCCCTCCCACAAATATAAAAAGCTCTGACTCCCACACTGCCCGCCCCACCCATTAGTCTGGAGGAAGTTGGTGTCCACAACCAGTATCCTGAAGAAGCCACACTTCCTCCTTAGCTTAGGCTTCAACTAGCACTCAGTCCTCCTCTTGCTGATTTCTTTGCTGTGGAAGGAAACCAAGGGTCTGTTGGTCTTTTAGATCCAGTATTTGCATTTTTCCACACAGAATCACAGGGAAACAAGTACAAAGAGTTACACCCTTCCCTGAGTAAGCACAGCAGAAACTTGACTTCTTGCAGCCCCAAGACAACAACACATACATTAAAGCTAGAAGTATCATGAAAATCTTACAACATACATTATACAAATTTTACGATGTAAGGATCCTTCCTATCATTCCAATCAATAAATTATTCCTTCAGCTCACACTCCATATTTTATTGTGCAATGATGGAAGTCAGTAATTCTGACCCTTGAATGGATGATCATGAAATAAAAGTCTGGCTGGTATAAGGCTAAAATGAAATGTGAAAAAGTGCACTTGACAACCAACTTGAAAAAAATGAACCACCTATGGAATATATATATATATACATTACCAGCTTAAGGAAATCTATCAGCTTGTGTGCGTCTTCCCCAGTGGAGAGGTCTACGAAGTCCTTGGGTAGGCCGTAGCTCAGATAGGGGCTAGGTTGCACTGTGACTTCACTGTCTGTACAGCGGAAAGCTGGAGAATCCTGGACAAAGAGAAGCCAGGGAAGCCTGGGAGTCATTTATTTAAGTCTATTCTCCAAACTAAAAAAAAAAGATCTGGACATAATTTCAAAGCCCATATTCTCTTCTGTGTTAGATAAGGAAGATAAGAAGACTCAAGTAAAAGAAGACACCAGAAATTTAAAATAATTCTACAGACCCACTAGAAAATAGAAGGCATCTAACAATCATATTCATGAAGAGTCAGGTTGACTTGTAAACTCTATGGTGCAGGGCTACTGTGTACAGTGGCTCACACAAGCTCACATCAGCCAGACCCTGTATAATCACTATTGTTTTAGGAATAAAGTATGAGTACTACAGAATACCTCATTGGCGGACAAGAAAGTTCTTTGAGCTCCCTACATTTTTTGTTTGTTTTTTGGTTGTGGTTTTTTTTGGGGGGGGTCCAGTCGTGGGGCCTGAACTCTGGACCTGGGCGCTGTCCCTCAGCTCTTCAGCTCAAGGCTAGCGCTCTACCACTTGAGCCACAGCGCCA